TTAATCCAAAATTTAACATATCTGACTTTTGCATTGCAATACCTCCACTCCTGGAGCACGTAGGAGAAAAGTAAAAACACTTTTATTATGCAAATCGTACCCAAGCTATTGATTAAGCGCAGTCTCAATTTCGTCGGATCAGCCGTTGTTGAGATCCGAAAATCTGAGGGCCCCGTCAACTCGCGTACTCGCGTAAACTTACACGGTCGGTCTCGCACGCGTGTACTAGCTACGCTTACACTTGGCGCGAGACACTACCGTGTCTCGTGATTGTATAACACGTAAGACTTTCCTTTGTTAGTGTTTACGGCAACGTCTATTTTTGCATCCATAGGAATTCCAAAGTCTTTGAGAGTTCTCGGCCAAGTTGGTACTAGCGTGAAGTCTGGGTAGTTCACTTTATAGATTCTATCGTCAACGAATAGAATCAAGTGATCGGATGGAGTTTGATACGCGGTTGAAATACGCGTGAAGTGTGAATGAATGAATGGCATGTAGTTTGAAAGCAGCAGAGGTTCTCTGTAGGTCTTTCCATCTATATCAATCACCCATATGTGTTTTCCGTACGCTACATACATTCGATGTTCCAACAGTAATATCATATCAACACGTTTCAAGGCGCACAGATCCGGTGGAACGCTTGGTGTTGGCTGCGGTGGTGGCGGTGGTGGCGGTCTGAGAGTCGTTTTCGGTAACACGTCGGTATCCGTCGCGCCGTATAGATTTTGTATGTTTATAATGTCCTCGTTGTTTAGTGTGACAGGAAAAGTACTGTCAGGTACGTATGCATACATTATCGACGTAGTGTTGTGATTATGATCTAACCCTAACGAATGACCGATTTCATGAGTCAACACGTACAGCAAATTATATTTGTTCAATGGACCCATATCTAGATTGTAAATAATTTTACCGCATCCCTAAAAGGTTGAAAAACACCCCCTAACCCTACTTTATTTGGGCCCTTCCGAATTTGAACATATCCTAAAATTTTTCGTTCTAATAAAGTTAAAAAAGCAACCCCTATAGATGTATCGAAGATATATATGCCACTGTTCCATCCTGTGTGTGTGTCGACGTGAACCTCCGACGGGAAATCCGACGCTCCATTGGGATAGAGTGAGCCAACGTGCCGCCGGGACCGTCCAAAACGCTCGAGCACAATTCACCGTTTCGATGATCGAGGAACATATGACGGCCTTCGCGCCACGATATAAGAATATTTGGGTTTTCAACATCACGTTCAAATGTTAGCGACGAATGTTTCTGCCACAAATCGAACGCTGCCTGAGTTGTATTCAAGAGCGCTCTGTTGGCCAAGTGAAAATTCCACGTTAAGTATCGTTTCGGCCACATACGTATAACTTTGCCCTCTCCGAAATTCAATATGTCACGTAGACCGCATCGCGGTTTACGCATCAGGCTTAGAGTTGCGTTGTCCACTTTACCAGTAACAGGTAATCTGTAGTATTCTTGAAAGAGGTTGATAGCGTGTCGAAGAACCAGCTGATCTTCACTGGTGGCAAACGTATCCATCTTCTCGTTCAAAAAACCGTATCTCTGCAGATATCGTATCGCCACTTCATTGTTCTCGTTGATGACTTTACACTCAGCGATAATGGGCGCGTTCAGCAGAATGTAACAGTTGAAAACTGTTGGGCGAGTGATCAGTGAGCGGTTAGTGATACGAACGGTGTCTGCTGAACGTCTAAAATCTGCTGAACTAGTGTGCCACGTGACCTTACACTGTATTTCAAACATAACCATATCTGTCAGAGTGTTTACTGATAGCAAAGTAGCGAAAGTGTATCTAAAACTGTTAAAGAAATTTAAATTTGGCAGTCTACAACATATCTGCACATGGATGTTTTAGATGCATTGTTTTATTTGCAATGGATGATGATGAAAACAACCGAAATAACGTATTGCGTCTAATGCTCGATGAATTGATGGAACCGTTACCAGAACTAGATGAACTAGAAATTGGGCAACGAGGCAAAAGGATCAGAAATCAAAACTATTATGAAATTATTGTTCCTCAATATGATGATCTTTTATTTAAAGAGCATTTCAGAATGTCTCGTGCAACATTCGAGGTATAGTATAGTACATTTTATGAAAATGAAATTATTATAAAGATTAATTCGTATACTCAACTTAATTGCAGATAAATTCTATTAGGATCTAGTTAACGTAATTGGACATGCTATTCCTGGAAATCAAAATTATCTTGTACATTTAAGAAAGAAAGTTATGTTCTCGGTCTGGGTTTTAGCTAAACCAGAAAGTTTTCTGGCTGCCGGAGATCGTTTTGGATTACCCAAAAGCACTGGTCATTACGTGTTCAAAGAAATTGTCACTGTTATAGCTGGTCTATTACCAAATTATATAACATGGCCTGACAGAAGAAGATGTCAAGAACAGGAAATTACTTTTCGAAGACGTTCTCGTGGTTTTCCTGGTGTTGTTGGTATGCTTGATGATTGCCACATTCCTATAAAAGCTCCCGCAGGCAACCCTATAGACTTTTATAATAGGAACAAAGAACATTCGATTATATTGCAAGGCGTATGTGATCACAAGGCATGTTTTATAGATGTTTTCATTGGAATGCCTGGACAAATGCATGATGCTCGGGTATTCAGACAAAGTGAACTGTTTGTACAATTAAATAATGGTGAAAATCTT